TATAATGCAAAAATCCGGTTCCCCACAAAACCCGAACCCTTGCCTCTCGCCCATGGAGCGTCACGCTTACCACTACACCAAGCCGCCGTTGAGGAGTGGTCTGCTTCCATGTAATTTAAGTTTTCTCATGTAATGTCACCTAAAACCACCCTCATAACTCCGTTCAGAGAATCGCTTGGCAGATTTGGAAAGCGGATTTGAACTCAACGCCCAAAAACGTCTAGCAGTATAGGTCTCATTTCAAATGGCCACTTCGAGTTGGGATCCTTCCCTGGTTAGTGATGAATATCTTCATTAGTCTCGGAGTCGTAGTGATCGGGGGCTGAATGACGCGTATATTCAATAAACGATTAGGGGGGGAAAGTCAGCGGTTGAGATTCCTCTCAATGGTTTACTTTGTTTACACATTCGCGCCGATGGCAGCCCATATGGGCTGCCAGGTAAAAACTGCCCCTGACTTCGTTATATCATAATCTTTTGAATTATTTTAAAATCAATGAAATGGTCAAGGGTTAGCCTACACCCAATCCCGTCGGCAAGGAAAACGTTAGAATAATACAACGTTATACAAACAATAAACAACTACAGTTTTTCGCATTTTCTTCATAAATCAATTGCGAGTGGAGTACTCCAGAAGCTGAAAGCACAGTTGAACTCAGCTCGACGAGCTCTATAAGCTGATACCCTAAAGGGTTGATAGTGCTTCGTTTGGATTGCGCCATGCACTTGAAATCCATCTGTAAATTAATTGTATATTTTCGTGTTTGTAGTGGCTGATTGGTCCCTCAGGATGAAGTGTATAAGAGTTCGCTTCAGAGTGCGCCGCGTACTCGACCTTACTCACTGCATTGAGAAGATTATTGATTGATTTTATTCAGTCTCCATCGTTCATTTCTAATGTGGAGGCTGTAGATGACCGCATCTACAGTCTCTGCACTCAACACTCCTCCTTACAGGTTCCATTTAGAACATGACTCCATTTTACGGCAAAATAATCAAGTCGGTTTTTTTGTCATTTTCGAAAATTTAAAGGAATTTTTCTCTAAGATCTAAGGAGGCGTTGAGGCACTGCACTATCATACACAACTCTTTGTTCTCCGCAAGACTGTTATGGTACACCTTATCATAGATCAAAATTTCTCCCTTGGTGTGGCGCCAAACTTCGTCAGGCTTGAATCATTAATTTATGCTTTTCTCTCTTTTCTTGGCCTTTTTGCAGCTGCCGTCGGCAAGGAAAACGTTAGAAGGCAACGACTTTATTCGAACAATTAACAACCACAGTTTCTCTCGGTGAAACATGGCAAACAAACAGTTTTTTTGCAAACAGAAACTCAGTATAAACTCTAGTAACACTTTTCCACTTTTCCTAGCTTTTTCTCTTCATGAGTGAGAACTTATGCGTTGGTAGCAGCCATGACATTTCCTTCAATAGCCGACTCCTGTTCGAATAGGAATGGGAACAGCTTCTTAACTTCACTAGACCAGCTATCTTTATCCAAAACTCGTCCTTCTGGTGATTCTTCATCCGGTTCATCCACATCATAATTGACAAGGAGTACGCGGTCGTAGTCCACTGTAGAATCTTCCAGCTCCGCGTCGATGTTGAGCAATAACGCGTTGAAACTGTTCGCCTTCTCGAACTCTGAGAAGCGGTTGCAATCAAATGGAAGTCCTTGGCAAAAGAAAGAATCCAAGAAAAATTCGATCTAACAGAAGACTTATGCGTGGCATGCAGGTGGCACCAGTTTATTCAGTTGCTCTAGAGTTCTAGAGTTTCTTCAGATCCATACTACTGTAAAGAAATATAAGATAAAAAGTGGTTCAGTTTAGGAAGCCTTAAAAGCCTATTCCAGTTAAAAGCCCGAAACATTCAACTCAACAAACAGTACATTGAACAAGTCGACGCATTCCATCAGGATCCTAGGCCTTTCAATTCACAAATACATAAATTGCAAAAGCAGACCAAAGACGCTCTCGAGAAGAACGGTGCAAGGCATTCCACTTGATGATTCAGAGTTCACCGACGAAATATAAGCCGAACACCCCTCTTCTCCCCCCTAAGTAAGCGGATGCGGGCATAAGGCAGATATTGTTTCATTCAAAACAAGTAAGTTTATAATAGTGATATTTTTTTTGTGTAAAACAGATTGAACATCTTAAGTACCTGTACGAAGCCTGCTGTATCCACAATAAGTACAATAAGCCCGCAAAAACCGAATGCTCTAAGGAATGCTTACCAATAACTCACGGGCCGAAGCGTTTCCTGCTATCAACGTTTCAATCTCATTTGAGTTTAAGGAGTATGGGTGCCTTTGTTGAACGCTTCACCTGTAATTGAAGTTTAGTCGCAAAATGAAACAAGCTAGCTAACAATAAGGATTCCAAAGTAAGCATAATGTTGAAAAAGTAAAAAAGCGCGCAAAAACTGAAAGCCGGAACGAATACTTACCAATAACTCATGCCCGGAAGTGTTTCCTGCGATCAACTTCCCAATCATGTCATCATTTGAATTTGAGGGCAGTATAGGCGCCTTCGCTGAACGTTCCACCTATAATAAAGGTTTAATAATCAATATGAAACAAATTAGCTACCATTTAGGACGCCAAAATGAACATAATGTTGAAAAAAGTTTAAAAACGCACAAAATTTGAAAGCCAGAAAGAAGCGGGTCCTGTGGGACGGTGGCAGCCCGTATGGGCTGCCACGGCCAGTGCACCGAAAAAGGCTACCGTCCGTGGAGGACGCATTCGCGAAAGGCGTGCTCGTCGCCAATGTGTTAAGAAGGCGCTTCGAATTAGAACTTAGACCCATGCAGTTTTTAGTTCCTTCATCACACGCACTGGTCTCATCTACATTATCCAACGCAATATGATAAAGCATAACGACAGCCTCCTCATCAGCCCCAGTCCCTCTCCACCCCCCCCCCCCCTCCCTGCTTTCGTCAATTCTTCGTTTCATCCTCTCAACCAAACACACCAACAGCAGCAACAACAACAACAGATGGCTATTTTTCGATTCTTTCGCCAACTAATGACGCTGCTATGAATCAGATGAGAATCATTGAGAGAAAGGTGATTGGGTCTGCGACATCGTGATGACAGCGGCCGGACTGTCCTCCTCCACACCCAATTTCTCTTGGAAAGCGTTCCATTCTATTGTCGAAGAAACTAGTTCACGTCGCACACGTCGCGCGCGGAGCATTCTACTGCGAGATGATGACGTTGAATTGTGCAAGGGTATAGCGGTGTGCTCTTTTTCCGCGCGTGGGCATCTGAATGCAACATTGGTACTGTAGGGGTTTTGAGCGTTTCCCGAGGGGAACGAATCCTTCTAATTCACCGGCCTACTGCTCCATTTTCTAATTATACTACTCTATTAAATGGAATGAAACGCCATAAAAAATTTCGACATGGCTTATTTTATCTCACTCTGCATCTTCTTTACACAGATCTAAAGCAACCTCTGAAGCGAACTATTCCGAGTCGTGGACTAGGATGATCTCCTTCTCGAGCTTCACACTTATTGTCGTGAGTATGCAGCGACACGACCATTTCAGGGTTTCCAGAGAGGCCTGAAATTTTTTTTGGAACCTTAGCTTTTGCTTTCGCAATATTCTTCCATGCAAGTACTTTATGACATGTCCTTACTTGGCATTTTATTTTAGACATGTCATCACTCTTCAGAAATTCTCTGTTCTTCAATCTGTAATTGTATACTTTTTTCCATTGTGCTCATTCATTTCTCAATGGCACATTCTGAGTTGAATCATCCTATTACTCGAGCGGGAAAGTGAATCAAAATAAAGCATAGGTTTGCAGCACAATCTCGAGACGACGATTTGATGCATCGCGCGCTACTTGCGCTGCGAGTTGCAAACGACGGAAGAATCGGAGCGGACAAATTTTCCTTCCGAGCTGCAGCCATTTTCTGCTTGATTGTGTCCTCTCACCTCTTGAAGTGTGTAACGATGTTCAGTTTAGCCCAGTGAACTTGCTTTGTTGCGAGGTATGAGAAAAATTGACTCGAAGTGATAATAAACAACATCACACTGGACGTCAGTAAAAATGCTAACTAATCAGAAAATTACCTGGCAATTAACCTACCCTGAGTTCTTCAGAACACCGTGATCATTAAGGTGAGAGGCGCAAACAGACAAAATAACCGATTGATAAGTCGAGGCATGGAGACGGCCAACCCAGAATCACACCATGTTTATGCTTCATTTGAGAGCCGTACGAAGCACTATCATTAACCAGAGATCCTTTTTCGCAGCAGGAAGTAACGCACTTCCTGCACAGCTTCATACACTGCCGTCTACGTTGCAACAAGCTAGTTTCGAACGTCTCATGTAACTCCAAGACAAGCAGCTATCTAGGTTTTTTCAAACTTTTCTGACTGAGATTGCGTTTTCAGCTACAACTGCAACAACAGGTTTACTCAAATCAACTACAACAGCGCGTGCCGCAGCAGCAACAGCAACAGCAACATTACTACTTTCATCAGCCTCAACAATTACTGCAACAACCCTTCCTTCAGCATCAACATCATCCACTTTCTCAGCGATCACCTGCTAACTACCAGTATTCTCACTTCTACAATCATCCTCAGTACTCCACTATACAGGTGTCTTCCACGGCATCAAAACCTACATACAGGTAATACCCTACTAAATATGACGCGCCAAGTGTGTCTGTTGGTCCGTCTGCGTGTGTGTATATGTGTCGGTGTGCGTGTCGATGTAAGTGTTGATGCGTGTCGGTGTGTGTGTCTAGATGTGGGTCGGTGTGTGTCGAACCGAAAATTTGTAAAAGCTGATCCCAAAGCTGAGCTTTCAAATTTGGTAGAGATACAGGAGCGGAATGGGAACACGAACGGTAAGAGGTAAGGTTGGGGTGTGGGATCTTCTCTTTGAGCGGCGTACACACTCGCCGCAGCCACCTCGCTGCAACCCACAGATATGCGATGGTCGATCGGAGCGTGCAATGTGTAAGTCAGGTTTGCGATGGACGGTCGGGTGGTACTGGTTTGTCTTCGTGAAGCGTTATTTCCTCTATAAATCCCATATTAAATGAGTACACTCTACATGAAAACAAGAAAAGACGAAAAAAACAAAACAAAGCAAAAAAGCAAGTCAGGCAACAAAAAAAGTGAGGCCCTATAGTTTAACGGAGAGGAGGGCTCAATAGGACCCCGATAACGAGGAGGGCCCCGATAACTACAGTTTGAAGCCTTGATTCGGCTGAAAAAATTTCGGTCGGAAAAGGGTCGCCTGGGGCTCAGGGAACGTGGGAATTTGGGGAGAAGTTCCACCACCCGTACGACTCGCGAAGGGATGGGCTTGCGCAAAAAAATTTGTGCTTTAAGCGGAGTACATAACTCGTGTTCCTCAAGACCTCAAATATTAAAACTTGGTAGTAAGCTGGGTGCACTGGAAGAAGGTGGCAAAAGTGGACTCCGCCTACGGTGTCTGGACGTGTACGAAGATTGCCAACTTGAACGTGGGGCGTTTAAATCCGGTAAGGATACAGCCGGAAGCGTAGGTGGGCACAGTCGGACTCAAAATAAGTCAAGTTGGGATGAGTAGGGAATGACAGGTTTCTTGAACACATGACTTGAGCAGGACTTCGCTCGTGACTGTAGAAGCGCGCACGAAGTGTATCGGTGTGCGTGTTCCGCCAAAAATCAATAACTCACGTCCTTTCGAATCAAAACGTCCAAATCTGCGAGAGTGCCGGCGGCAAGGTAACCTAAGAAGAAGAGCGCGTGACCTCGCTCTAGTCGGGCGAGCCGACTCAAAAAATAATATGGAAGGAATAATGCATGATTTGTCGTTTACTGCACAAGATAGAATACCCGCCCGGATCTCTCTCATTTATAGAGCAGTAAATTATTGTGTCGGTCCAAGTGTTTGTCGGTTTGTCGGTGCGTCCGTCTGTCCGTCCGTGAAACTTATGATTATTATAAATTAGTGATATGGAAAACCCAGCCCTATTCTTTATTTCCTTCTTATATATAAAGCTGTAAATTGGAGTGTTGGTTAGTGAAGTAGAGTGAAGTGAGTAATGTGGAGTAAAGTGGATACTTCAAAACAGTGAATTCTATCTGTACTGGCGAGTCAATTAAAAATTCACTCATACCCAATCCTAGCTTCTTGCGCGAGGTAATCATCTCACCTCCACCCCGGCATTCCTCCCCTCCTTAGGCTTAGGCTAAAACTATATTCTCTCGCCACGTTTCTGAGCACAGTCTAGTCGGCTACCCCTCCTTTTCTGCACTCTAGCCCTCACTGTTTGATAAAAGCGATGCCCCTCCCCTACTTACATTTTTTCCTTTTTGTAAAAGTAAGGAATGAGGCTCGACGAAGCAGGCGACCCGACCGGTTGTTCAAAAAATAAAAAAACGCGATTCCTCCTTCCTTTTCTACTTTTCCTACGCAGCATGTCTTGGCGAAATCCATACGTTTTTCTAAAATTTTCGCTGTCTAGGAAGAAGTCACTTTTTCGAGTTATTCATACTGAATTCTTTGTGAACAATCATTATTTGCGAAAAATGATTACCTACCTCAGACCTTAGACTTTATATTATGTGTGTGCATTAATTTCCGCCGCTCAATTCCAAGGGCCGTTGCGCGAACCATGTTAGAGGTTTACCGGTAAAACCTGTAATGTTCTGTAAGGTAGGGTATTGGCTACCTACTTAAGGGCAGACAGGTCAGTTTTGCCTCGAAATCCCGTTGCTCTCAGACTGATTGGTCATGGAACGTGATGAACCGTTTCCCCAAGGGCCCTTCCCCTGCTATTTGATTTCAAGAAAACTGGCATTGAAGCCCACCGAATGCTTCTATGGAAGACAAGCTTCATCTGAACGAACCTGCTGAGATGGTTGCTTTTCACTCGAGAGCTTGCAACGGAAGCGGAATGTTTATTGCCAAAAAGTAATGCTGTGTGTGCATTTGGTGGTGGGATCAAAAGGGTGTTGTGTACTGTGAGTTGCTGACCGAAAGAAACTGTTACTGCTGACCGCTACGAACACCATCTTGACAGTTTGTAGGATGCTCTCACCTACAAGCGGCCGTTTATCGCAAGAAAATATCTTGGGGTGCTGTTCCACCACGAACATGCCAGACCCCATGTTGCGAAGAATGTCCTTCAAAAAAATTGCAGTTGTTTGATGGGATCAGCTTGTTCAGCTCGCATACTCTCCGGATCCTGCTCTTTCTGATTACCACCTATTCCGGTCCATGCAAGTCAGTCTGGCAGATATACGCTTCCGGAATGCCGAAGAAGTGCGAAAATGGGTGGATAACAGGATTGCCTCAAAAGATGAAGACTTTTTCGGAGTGGGAGTCAACAAGATACCAGAAAGATGGCAAGTCAGTTGCAGCTAACGATGGGCAATACATTGGTTGAGGTACATTTAGACTTAATTTTGTAATAAGTATGTTTTTGCACGCGAAAAACGGCGGAAATTAATGCACACACCTAATATTTGCTTCCGATATCGTCCCAAACAGCAAGAGGATAAATCTCGTTTATTTTATATATAAAATCAACTCCCAGAAACTTACAACTTCAGATCTATTTTCAAAAAGCTACTCGGTGATATGAAAATCAATTCACCAGTTTTACTTCGAATTGACACCTTCAGCATCGCTTTTCTACCCTTTTCATTCACTCAGTCACCTATTGGATCTTATCTCTATCCCACATGGCTGGCCGAGACAGCGGACTGATTGAAATTGCCTCGATATGCGCAATCACCAAACAGCCCTCAAAACTAGCGCTTCTAATTGGATAGGTACAACACCTATATACAACTGTTTTCAATGAAGCAGATCACTTTGCAGAACAAAATGTTCGTTCTTGATCAAAAAGCAGTCA